CCTCCTCCCTCCTCCCCCTCCCCTCTCCCTACTCCTCCTCCTCCTCCTCCTCCTCCTCCTCCTCCTCCTCCTCCTCCTCCTCCTCCTCCTCCTCCTCTTCCGTTCCTTTCCCTTACCTATACGACCGCCCTGCGGGCATTAAGGAGGTTTTGGGAGGGGATTGGAATCAAATGCCCACCCTGACTGACCTCCAGCCTGTCACCTTGATCTCATATATCTCTTTCTCTCTCTGTCTCTCTCTCTCTCTCTCTCTTTCTCGCCCTCTCTCTCCCTCTCTCTCTCTTTCTCCCAGAATTGATGGATTGGATTGGGTGGGATAAGATGGGACAAGATGGGTTGAATAAGACAAGATGGATTGGATTGGACAAGATGGATTGAAAAAGATAAGCTGGATTGGATAAGTAAGCCCGCCGCAGGCACCGATAAAAATAATGTGATGGATTGGGTTGGGTGGATTGGATTGGATGGGGTAAGATGGATTGGGAAAGATAAGATGGGTTGGATAATTAAGAAGAAATAGAATGTATAAGATAAGATGTATTGGATTGGCCCGCCGCAGGCGCAGAAACAAATGAATTGATGGAATGGGTTGGGTGGATTGGATTGGGTGGGATAAGATAAGATGGGACAAGATGTTTGGATAAGATGAGATGGATTGGATTGGACAAGATGGATTGAAAAAGATAAGCTGGATTGGGTAAGAAAGACCGCCGCAGGCGCCGATACAAATAAATTGATGGATTGGGTTGGGTGGATTGGATTGGATGGGATAAGATGAATTGGGAAAGATAAGATGGGTTGGATCATTAAGAAGAAATACAGTGTATAAGATAAGATGGATTGGATTGGCCCGCCGCAGGCGCAGAAACAAATGAATTGATGGATTGGGTTGGGTGGATTGGATTGGGTGGGATAAGATAAGATGGGACAAGATGGGTTGGATAAGATAAGATGGATTGGATTGGATAAGATGGATTGAATAAGATAAGCTGGATTGGATAAGAAAGCCCGCCGCAGGCGCCGAAAAAAAGAATTATGAAATTAGCGACATGCGTTAGCGCCGGGACACCCGGGACACCTGGGACACCGCCCGGCCCAACTGGGACACCTCCCGGCCACCTGCGGACGGGAAACGGACTTTCGCTCCTACTGACACCCGGGACACCCGGAACACCCGGAACACATCCAGGCCCAACTGGGACACCTCCCAGCCACCGGCGGACGGGAACGGACTTTCGCTCCTACTTCGGCCTAGCTACAGGAGGATCACGCGCAGCTTTGCCTCGCCCGCACGCACGACACGAATACCAAACCGAAACCGATTTTCCCGGTGGGGGGTCTCCGTTTCACTGCGATCTCACCCCCCAACCTCCGATACATGACCCCTCGCTGTCGCACCCCGAGGCTGGTCGAAAGGGCGAGCTGGGCGTTTCGCTGGAGACTTCCTCACCACGTATGACCATGAAGCGTTCACGGATTGAGGCTGGGTGGTTTTCAAAATGTGGCTCTCGCCTTAGCGCCGCGCAGATTAGTTCTCACACATTGCAAGAGCTTCACGGATCGAGGGCGGGTTTGCAAAATGTGACTCTCGCCCTAGCGCCGCAAACATTCGTTTCAAAACACTGCGAGAGTTTCACGGATTGACGGCGGGCCATTTTCAAAATGTGGCTCTCGCCATAGCGCCGCGCACATTGGTTGTAACTTTGCAAGGGTTTCACGCATTGAGGGCAGGTCGTTTTCAAAAATGTGGCTCTCGCCTTAGCGTCGCGAGCATATGTTTCAAACAATTGCAAGAGCTTCACGGATTGAGGGCGGTTCCTTTTCAATATAGCTCTCGCCTCAGCGCCACGCACATTCGGTTGAAATATTGGCAACGAGTTTCGCAGATTCCCGTGGTAAACGGCCAGAAACGGTGCTTTGGAAGGACTCAGGATTGTGAGTGCGCAACAACAACGTTGGTTCGCGGTGTTGAAATCTCAGGAATGCTTTTCTGGCACGCTTCTGGACCGTCAAGACACAACAATCATGTTGATTCGTGGCGTTGGCCCGAGAACGGTGTGCTTTGGTACGCCTCAGGGAGGCATTTCCCAAGGAGGGAATGAACCCTTGTAGGAGCCTGTGAAGAGGGAGTTGATGAGTCTTGAGTTTCCACTGGTCCTCCTTTCCTCCTCCTCCTCCTCCTCCTCCTCACATCCTCGCTCTCTTGGGGTACGACGTCTTACCAAGCCCTTTATTCAGCTGCATTCTCCTCCACCTCCCCGATCAGGGCAACTCGTTTGGGCATCGTTTCTGGAAGGGCTGGTGGGGTTACACGAGGCGTCCAGGATTTCGATTGTGTTTGCCTATCGGAAGCGTCTTGGGGCGCCTTGGAAGCCTCCAGACCCGTGTGTGGGCGATCTTGGCCGTCTCGACGTCATCTTGACGTCCAGAAGCGGTGCCGCTGTGACATTGGCGACAGGAGCACGAGGGAGCTTCCCCGTGGCCGCTCTCCCCGCCGCTCTCTGCAAACGCGGCAGATCTGCTCCTCAGGCGCTTTGACCAGGCCCTCCCCTGGCGCAGACGCCCTGGCAAAGGTGGCCAGACTGAGGACTGAAGGCGTAGGGGCGTTGGAACCAATGCTTGCCGACTGCGCCGCCCTCTCCAGGCTGCGCCTGACCGTTGGCAAGACCGTCTGGGCCCCAGTGCCCCATCCGCCCTTGAGGCCCAGAGGAGGAGGAGGAGGAGGAGGAGGAGGAGGAGGAGGAGGAGGAGGAGGGAGGAGGAGGGAGGAAGGGGGAGGCCCATCCGCCCTTAAGGCCCAGAAGGCGCGCGGCAAGAGGGTGATCGACCGCGCGCCGTCTTGGGGCGGGCCGAGGTTGGCGCACTGCGCCGTGCACCTGGGCCGTCACCTCGGGCCCGAGTGGGGCGCAGGCTGTTGGCCAGCGCAATATGTTGGAGGCCTAGGAATGGGCACCAACACCAACACAGGGTGTCGTCCCCACAGAGAAGAAGATGGTCCTAGATCTCGGTGTTGGTGGCAAGATTTCGGCCCCCTCGGAAGGCAGAGTTATTACCACCATCACCGAGATCAGAATCTTCTTCCTTCTGTAAAGGCACACCGCTGATATTGGTGTTGGTGTCAACCTCTAGGCCAGCGACAATGGAGCAGTCGGTTATCCTTTCTCAATCTGCCTGCCCCGCCAGTCCTCCTCTTCCTCGTACTGCTCAGTCCCTCTTCCGTACGACGCATCCTCGTCGCACCACCAGACATGTCGGTAGTGCGGTCCTAACGTTTCGCTTGAGACTTCCTCACCTCTTCGGACCCTAAACCTCGGAATTTCCTACAGTTACGCGTATACCGCCTGAGCGCAGCGCACATTCGCCTTATAATACCTTTCAGCTGTTACAAGGATGGAGGGCAAGGTTTTTTCGAAACGCGGCTCTCGTCATAGCGCCGCGCGGGTTCGTCATGAACGCTTCTGCTTCCGAATAGTGCAAAGATGGCGAGCAGCTCGTCTTCAAAATGTGGAACACAAGTTAGCGCCGCGTACATTCGTCTGTCAACGCTCCAACAATTACAAGGATGGTGGGCGGCTCCTTTTCATAATGGGGCTCTGGTTTGAGTCGTCGACCAGAACTCTGGCCAGAATTGCGCAAAGATGTGCGACAGTCAGAGGGATGGGCGGCTGCTCGTTTTCACAGTGGGCCTCTCGCCGGACGCTTCCTCCAGATAGTCGGCCCGACGTGCAAGATCGGGTGAAACACAAGGGTGGAGGGCGGCGCCTTGTCAAAACGGTGTTCTCGCTGGACCCCCCCCCCTTGATCCTTGGGAGTGCATGGTCCCACCTCTTCGCATTCCGTAGGTCTACCACCTAACAGCGCCCAGGTCTTCAGAACGAGGTTCTCGCCAAGACGGCAGGACCACTGAGCGCTCATCATTCCGATGGTGCGTCCCGTAGTGAGAAGGAACGCCTGTGGACCCTACGAAGAGGGGACTTCGAACGGAACGGCAGTTCGCAACATCGTTGATGCATTCCTCTGTTTACTCTGAGTGCCCTGCTTCTCCTCATCCTCATGCTCCTACTCCTCCTACACCTCCACCTCTTCATCTTTTTATTCGCATTAGCACTCGTCGTCTCACTTTCTTTTTGTTAGCAGTGTTGATGTAATTAGTCATATGATTTGTCCTTTCGTTCCCTCCTCCTCCTCCTCCTCCTCCACATCGTCCTCATCCTCCTCATCATCCTCATCCTCATCCCCATCCTCATCCACATTCTCATCCTCCTCCTCCTCCTCCTCCTCCTCCTCTTGCTCCTCCTCTTCCGCATCATCCTCCTCCTCCTCCTCGTCCTCGTCCTCCTCCTTCTACTCCTCGTCTTCCTTGCCAGTTTTGTCTTGTTCTCCTCACCAGGCCCATCATTACCCTCTTTCGTGCGCAGGCAACGCATTGCGGCCTCCTGTCGCATGGAACGGGCCCGCCTGATCGTGTCGCCCAGCGCCATCATGGGAAACCAGTATAGCGAAGCGTACAGCGCGAAAGAAATTGTGCGCTCAGGCCGCTTGATACTCTATATTTGCTTCATTCCGTCATGATCCTCCTTGTTTGCGTCAACCTCCTCTCCCGCCCACTCCCCCTTCGCCTCCTACTCGTCCTTATCCTCATCATTCCCCCCCCTCCTTGTTCCGCCTCCGCCTCGTCCTCCTCCCTGCTCTTCGCCCCTCCTTGCCCCCTACACACACATGCCCTGTTGCTGCTCGTCGTCGTCAACCAGGACGGCACCTGGACTGGTTCCCCTTGGGACATTGACGCCATGAGGCACCAGCCCGTAGGCTCTTCGACAAGAACAGCAACAACCACACCAGTCAGTTTAAGACTGGTCGCTCCTACCTGCTCGAATACCAATCAAAACGTGTATCACAAACCCTCAATACCCACCCTTTCGGTCTCCGATCGTTCCCCCTGGAGGTATGTGGCGCAGCCCCTAAAGCAGAGGAAGAGGGGACGGATGTAAGGAAGGGGC